AAAACACAAATTCTGTAACCTCACTAGACCAAAAAATAACTTGCACCAACAGTTCTCTACCTTCTTGTTCCACTTCTCAACCTCTTCTTCACTCTTGAATTTTACCAGAGCTAATTCCTCCGCCAAGTATATTTCTGCAATTTGTTCAAACATTTGATACAACAAATCCTCTGCAATTATTTGATTGAGTCCCGGAGAAGCCTCCTTCCATAACACCTCAGCGACATGTTGATACAGTTTGAATATTATGGTGACTGTTTTCAAGTAGGGTATTGTGTCCAATTTATGTATCTCTTCAAGTACAGTCGTCACATAATCTGTAACCTTGAGGATTAACGTGTTAATTATTTCCTGTGATACCTGCAGGCAAGTAAGATTGATAGATAAAAAGATAGACTTACGACATCTTCAATAACCCGCTCACAGAACGTATGAAAGACCTGCACTTCCTTGGGGAATACTTGTCCGATAAGTATTGCTTGCTTTACTAATTCCTCTTCCACATATTTAAAAAACTCTTTCATTGGCGCATAATCATGCTCGCTGGTAGATACGCTTTGTCAAAAGTAAAAGACATAATGTAAGCGCAAGATTTTGTTGCCCAATATGAAACGAGGCTCTGTTGGGCTTACTTGAAATTTTCCATAGGATCATGAAGACGATCGAAAAATATCGAATTCTTTTGTATAAATGATTGTACACACGAGCTGCCCCCGTTCAATTCTGTTAATAAGCTTGCCCATTTCTAGTTGGCATCAGAAGCAGATATATTATTAGCTGTGAAATTGTAATTAAATATTCTTCTCAATCACTTTTTTTCATTACCCGTAGTCCAGGCACATTAAGAGCGTCGTATGCCAGCTCAAAGTCGTGCAATGCTGAATTTTCCATGTATTCCATCGTAGTCTCAATGGCATTATTTATCTAAATAGACAACAAAAATAAGAAAACAGAAAAAGTGTGGCATTATATTAATATGTATAGCATCCACCGTACCTGATCAGAGTCATGCACAACATTCAACTTTCCAAAAGTTGCCAATTTAGACAGCATCCCAGCCTGCTCGAATTGATCAGGAAATTCTTTAAATACTTTACTGTCCGTTCGTTTATACCTAAAATCTAAATAATACGGTATCAAGTCCACGTATATCTCCTTGAATCGAGCACGCGCAAAGCCAGTCGACGCAGCGCGGGACTTTTGCGAAAATGGATCTGGTGAAAGTCCAGGTATCAAACTTAATGTTCTTTGTGAATTCTCGTCATGAGAAGCGAAATCTAGCAGATTCCCAGAAGAATATAAAACCACAGAAGATTCATGTGTTACGGGTTTTATTGATGGAGCTAATGTGCTCTTTAAAGGAGCCGCATCTAGTACAGCATTGACTAATCCTTTTATAGTATCCCTCGCATTTTCATATGTGAGCTTGCTGTTATCTACGTTTTGCTCTACATTTTCCTCTACATCCGCTTCTAAGTCTGTCTCCATTTCCATTTCCAGTTCCGGAATTGGATCTTCCCACTCTCCGAGCATTTTCAAATGACTTTCCCAAAGCTCATCGTCATATACAAGTACTTTGAATCTTCGACACGCTTGCGCAAAGTTTATGAGCGAGCATATTGGAAGATATTTAAGAATGCGTATTAGAATGTCTGGAGGAAGAGTTTTGACGGTCGGACGTGCTGACAATGCGGTACTGGCTGGCGTAAGACTAACTGATAAATCTGCATCGAAAATGTCAACTGACATTTTACATATAGTAGTCTCTCGGCAACAAAAAAGTGAAATATTAATATGCAAAGATGAAAATAGAATGGGATTAATTGCCACGTGATATATACGGCATTCCCTGCCGAGTTACTGGTTCGCCGTTAGAAAATATGGCGTTAATACTATTTATGTTTTTTAATTCATCCACTTCACCCGAGATAGAAACATGTTCGACGAAATAACCAAGTATCCTGTTTATAACAGGTCTTCCGCAAACACTTTTACTTCGTCTCACCGGTATGCTCGAAATTCTAAAAGCTGATTTAGCAAAGTAACGTAGAAACAAATTCTGAATAGAGGAATACTATTTGCCAGACATAAAGCCTGTGCGTGCTCAAATTAAAATAATACCACTTCCATAACATTGTCAGGTTTAAAAACACGCAATTTACCAATTCTCGCGCGAGACACACCAAAATAGCAGTCTTATGATAAATCAATTCCTGGAATATACAACGACTGCTAAAAGAGTACTTTTTCGGTTTTCGATGAGGGTCACGAATCAACAATCTCAATTTAAAGATACTGGACCTTGAAACTGCTGATAACTTAGTGTGATATTTCTATTATTGTTATGTAATTGTTTGTCAATTCATAAATATGGAGCATGCTGCAACAATCCAGACAAGTGGACATGCAGTCATATAGTTCAGTAAGTTTATTAATTTTTCATGAAAGCAAAAATTAAAAGCAAATGTACAATATCTTCGAATTTTGTTATTAGAGCCCTACTGTTTA